TCTGTGTCTATCTCCGTTCTGTCTCTGTCGGTACCTCTGTCTTTATTTCTGCTCATGTCCCTCTTATAGAGTATGGTAAAATTATTATATCTCTATTTCAATGGAATCACGTGACATCAAATTTATTAAATATAAACCACCACCCTCTACATCACACTTCATGGAACTACTCGTCTCACACAAAGAGCCGCTCAACCTCTTGAAAACACTTGACATAATTTGTTACGGAATCACTCGACTACACACCTCATGAAACTTATCGACCTCATACTTCACAGAAACCCTTGTCCTCATACCTCATGGAACTACTCGACCACACGCCTCAGGGAGCCACACCCTTACACATCATAGAAGCTCCCCCCCCCCCCCCATCTGGAACTCCTCTCCACTTCCTCACAGAACCCACCTCTACCTCGCAGATTCGGGCTGATCCTGAAAGTTCCACCTCCTCTGCCCCGGTGGAGGAGCGTCCTCTACCCTTTCACGGGCGCGGTGTGGGCGGCCGTGGGCTGCTCCTTCGCCGTGGCTGTTGCCTCGTTCCATTTTCTGGCGAGGAGAAGGACTCGCGCCTCCTTTGCGGTCAACGCTACCACCATCTTCCAAGTGGGTACCGTTCTTCAAGGAGGTATTGTGTATATAATATATATATATATATAATAATATATATATATATATATATATATATATATATATTATATATATATATACACACACAATGTGTGTGTGTGTGTGTATGTATATATGTGTATGTATTGGGTGTGTGTACACCTGTATTTGTGTGTGCGCGCGTGTGTGTGTACAATCGATAATGTGCCCGTGGATGTACAACTGATGAAAATCAAATGGTTATATATTTACGAAGCTCTCAGTCGAAACATGTCATTTGTCGAATTTGAACCGAATAGAATCGTGTTATTAGGACTATTATATAATAATAGATACATAACGATGACAAACTATGAGAATTAAAACGAAATCTACATCGTGCATTACAATATTGCCCAGGTATAATCGTGCACATTCGTTACATCTCTGATTTGTATGATTAATGTTCCTTAATATCTGGGAGGCATTTTTTTTTATAATCACAAAGACAAAACTTGGAACGAATTAAACGACAGCGGACTAGAACTAGCCACCCATACCACCATACCACTAAGGGACACTAGCCACCCATACCACCATACCACTAAGGACACTAGCCACCCATACCACATCCACTAAGGGACACTAGCCACCCATACCACATACACTAAGGGACACTAGCCACCATACCACATACCACTAGGGGACACTAGCCACCCATACCACATACACTAAGGGACACTAGCCACCCATACCACATACCACTAAGGGACACTAGCCACCCATACCACATACCACTAAGGGACACTAGCCACCCATACCACATACCACTAAGGGACACTAGACCATAGCCACATACCACATACCACTAAGGGACACTAGCCACCCATACACATACCACTAAGGCCACTAGCCACCCATACCACATACCACTAAGGGACACTAGACATACACTAGGGACACTAGCCACCCATACCACATACACTAAGGGACACTAGCCACCCATACACATACCACTAAGGGACACTAGCCACCCATACCACATACCACTAAGGGGACACTAGCCACCCATACCCATACCACTAAGGACACTAGCACGACACTAGCCACCCATACCACATACCACTAAGGGACACTAGGCCACTCACTCCATTACCACATACCACTAAGGGACACTAGCCACCCATACCACATACCACTAAGGACACTAGCACCCATACCACATACCACTAAGGGACACTAGCCACCATACCACATACCACTAAGGGACCACTAGCCACCCATACCACATACCACTAAGGGACACTAGCCACCCATACCACATACCACTAAGGGACACTAGCCACCCATACCACATACCACTAAGGGACACTAGCCACCCATACACATACCACTAAGGACACTAGCCACCCATACCCACATACACACTAAGGGACACTAGCCACCCATACCACATTACCACTAAGGGGAGGGACACTAGCCACCCATACCACATACCACTAAGGGACACTAGACCACTAAGGACACTAGCCACCATACCACATACCACTAAGGGACACTAGCCACCCATACCACATACCACTAAGGACACTAGCCACCCATACCACATACCACTAAGGGACACTAGCCACCCATACACATACCACACACTAGCCACCCATACCACATACACTAAGGGACACTAGACCACTAAGGACACTAGCCACCCATACCACATACCACCACACCACATACCACCACTAGGGACACTAGCCACCCATACCACATACACTAAGGGACACTAGCCACCCATACCACATACCACTAAGGGACACTAGCCACCCATACCACATACCACTAAGGGACACTAGCCACCCATACCACATACCACTAAGGGACATCTAGCCACCCATACCACAAGCATACCACATGCCACTCATTAAAACATACCCCATACCACTAGCATATCCATACCACTAACTGACACTAACCACCCTATACCAGTAGCATACCCCATGCCACTGACACTAACCACCCTAGACCAGTAGCATACCCCATGCCACTGACACTAAACCACCCTAGACCAGTAGCATACCCCATGCCACTGACACTAACCACCCTAGACCAGTAGCATACCCCATGCCACTGACACTAACCACCCTAGACCAGTAGCATACCCCATGCCACTGACACTAACCACCCTAGACCAGTAGCATACCCCATGCCACTGACACCCTAGACCAGTAGCATACCCCATGCCACTGACACTAACCACCCTAGACCAGTAGCATACCCCATGCCACTGACACGAACCGCTCATCCCACGAAAGGGCCTGACGACGCAGTCCCTAAACCGGGTCCCCGATTCGTGGTTCGTGAGAGGGTTCCTGGGACTCTGGTGGTTCATGTGTTGGATCCTGGATATATCCTACACCTGTAACCTCATCGCCGTGCTGACTGTACCCGTTTATCCAACCAGGATAGAGACGGTGGATAGCTTAGCCTTCAGTGACCTTAGGTAAGTGTGTTTTTAGTTTTCTTTCTCCGAATTTTATTCCTTTGTTTAGTTTTTGCCTTCAAAAGTGAGTCTTATTTACTTACTTCCTTCTTTGACCCAAGGTCTATATAAGTACTTATATAGACCTTGCTTTGACCCTTATTCGTTTTCTACTAACTGTCGTCGCAAGTATTGTCGCAAAGCCGAAAAAAAGCAGATGCAGTTAAAGCCCTCGTTTTATTTCCAGGTACATAGTCGTTATTATCTGAAAAGCTGATAGATTAACATAGTTTACGGATCTAGTATTATTGAACAAGATTGTCTACATTAGCCTCACAGCACATCTGATTTTGGTTTGCAAAAAAAATGAGTGATGAAAGTTTGTTAAATTCAGATTCAATGCGTTATATGGACACATACAAGCCGCTGTCTCACCCCCACCCCCCAAAAAAATAAGAAAAAAATAATTGCCGTGAGAACCACCATATGTCAGTTTCTTTTTTTCCTTCTGTCATCTGCTGCGTCTGTTTGATTATTGAGAGTGGATTCCATAGTCTCACGTGACCCAGGTCGAGTTACTGTCACGTGAGTAATAACCTTACCTAAATGTGACACTTTTTATTATTTAGCCTAATTGGTCAGTGTTATCCGCTAATAGTTGATAATAAAGTAGGAAATATCGCAATAAAGATAAATAAATGAGGTCCTGTTCTGACTGTACAGCTTAATAATCAATCATCAGATAATATTGTTAATTTCTGGAAAAAATATGCGATGTTAAATTTAATTGGCTAGGCAGTATACACTATGCACATTGCGTTTGAATCATCTCGTATGGAGACATTACTGAAACACTGACGCCGGAAACCATATGAAATACATTTCATAGAAAGATATCAATTCATTTAGTTACTTTGCAACACAGACAAACATAATAACTAGTAGAGTTTCGTATGGCAAACAGACTGTGCATGCTGGACTACGGCGAGTTCGTGCCCGGCGCCCTGGCCACGTCGAGCGACCCCGCCCTCGCCGCCCTGGGCGCCAAGACCGACCTCGTGCCCATCATCGAGGAGCTCGACTACTACGGCGAGGAGGGCTGCGTGGAGCTGGTCCTGGCCGGCACGCACGCGCACACCGAGACGTATTCTTACGCGAAGCTCATCTACAGCGACCTCGGCCACGGGGCCTCCGTCTATGCGATGAGGCCGCAGCTGTACGAGGGGAACCTGGTGTTCTTCTTCAGGAAGAAGACGCCCTGGAAGGACAAGTTCAACGACGGCATAACGCGCCTGGTGGAGTCCGGTCTCGTGCAGAAGTGGTACAAGGAGATCATGGAGGAAAGAGACAGCAAGCCGGTGGGTCCGGGGGATTCGCAGGACGGCACGGCGGTGTCCGTTAGGAGAGCACACGCACACACAATTATACCTCACCACACACGCACACACAGCAT